AAAGGTGCAGTTTCTTATCAGTTGTAAATTTTACTGATACTGATACTTGTTTGCTTAGCAAGATGTCTGCAATTATTTTTACTGATACTTGCTTGATTAACAGGATGTCCATGAAACTTATCTTGTTGAATTATAACAAAAGTTCCTTATTCCCTCATACACGTAAGATTTTATGAACAAAGTTAACCCTTCTATTACAGGTGTCATTGTAGGGTGATGAGGTGAGGTGTATTTACTCACTCAGTACCATCTGTGTTGCCCAAGAGCAGTGGAGGGAGCTGGAATCAGATTGATTTACAGTCATTTAGGGCCCTGGGTTCTCCCAGCTTGCCAGGAGAGCCTCACCGAGCTCGCTGGATGCTCAAGCAGGAGCCACGAGCAGAGATCTCAGACTACCTGCTCTGGAAGGTCCCACACAACACAACCTTTTCCCTGAGGAAACTTTGTTTGCCACAGCCTCAGAGGAGGGATTTTCCCTGATTCCTGCACTAGGGAGTGGGAAAGAATCCAATTCTTTTCCCAGGAGTTCCCTGATATGCGGGTGCAGAGCCAAGAGCAGCCCAAGCCAGGTGGGGACTGTTCAGTCGCCCTCCTGCAGCCCAAAGGATTCCCCCAAAGTCCTGTTATCTGCTGGAAATGAAAGCCCCAGAGCTGGAAGGCTCCTGTCAGTGCCCTCTGGAGCGATAAGGGTTTTATCACTCAGGGTGTCTCTCCCAGGCTATGTCTTGCAGAAGTGGTGACAGAAAGAGAAGGAACCTTTGCATCCCTCACAGCCCCAGGAGAGGGTCTGTGTGCCACCAGCAGATAAATAACACCTTGCAGGTCAGTAATGCCTCATCAGCTGCTTCCCCTTCAACGTTCTGGCCATTTTATATCCTCTTAGGGGGCAAAGAAGGTGCCACCCTGAGAATCACCACTCCAGACAAAGCTACCTACAATGACCCACTCACCCGAGCCCTGCACAGCCATCAGCAACCTCCAAAACTCAGCCCTCTGATTTTCAGCACGGTTTCTAAGGAGCTCCAATGTCAGCAAAAGCACTAACTAGGACAGGTCAGCCACCTTCCTTTTGGAAATTCAGCTGTGTCTCCCAAATTAAAATTGCTCTGCCAGGGGCTTCCAAAGCTCCTGCAGTTTATTAAAGATCAGGCATCCCCTCGGACATGAGCAGGAACATCGGCAACAAGGGGAGGGAGACAGACAGGCACTCCAGATCACAGCAGGCTGTAAGCACTTTAATTAATTTTAATTACAGAAATTGCTTGGAGCTGAGGCATTGCAGGCTGTCCATGCAGATTTGGTGGGGAAGGGCCTGTCCCCAAAGGCACCGAAGGTCACCCCCCAAACTTGCAGGCAGCACTGCCATTTTTGTCACCCTCAGGCACTGCTGTGTTTTCATTTCAGGTGACAGGAGAGACTTTTACTGCCCTCTTTTGTTAACAGGAGAGTTTTCCAACAGCAAACATCGAGGGGTGTGAGAACACCTTGCTGGGTCTGCCCCTAACCCTGCACATAAACTCCTTTCACAGGCACCTGTGGCCCAAGACAGGTGGGCCAGGCATGACACCCAGTGGTCAAACAGCCTGGATTGCCCCACACCCTCCTCTGGCCCGTGGAACTTTCTGTGACCTGAACCCCTCAGAAGTGACACCCCTCTGACCAGCCCATTAGGTTTGGCTTTACTCAGTGGAGCCAAAGCCTTAAAAAAGAATAAATGTTGTGTTCACCAGCAGCGATGGGAAAAAGTTCTCAGTCCCATCTCTAGCAGCTGTAGCCTCTTGATTTTCCAAACAAACACACTGGACATCTGGAATTCTCCCAGAGTGACTTTGTAAAGAAATAAACAGCCAGTGGTCCTTGAGATGAAAAAGCTGAGTGCAAGTACAGTTTGGGGTGAGGAGGACAAGGCAAGAAATCTGCTGCAGAAGTGAGGCAGTAAGAAAGGAACCCACTTGCTCTTCAAAACGTACTCCCTGTTGGACCATTTAGAGAAGTGTCCAGGCACGTTTATCTTCATTCTATTCCCCAGAGATTTTGTTCTGAGGCCTTTTCCTTCCAGATATTCCTACAGAAGGTCACTGCTGTTTCTCAAGTGATTCAGGTCCTGCCCCCCTGCCCTAGACTGTACATTCCTAAGTAGAACATACCCACTGAACTCACATTTTCTGCCTCCTTGGCACTTATGCTGCAAAAACACACTTTCATTTTCATGAAAGCTGCCTCCCTTCCCCCTCCCCCCCAGTATTTTCTGGACAGTGTAAGCTGGCAGATTTTCCCTCTGAACATGTGGATCTCACTGATAAAGCCTATCTGCAGCACTCAGCCCGTGCTGTGCAGTCTGTGCCGCCTCAGCTGCATCCCACCCGTGTTTGGGAGGCTCTAGAACCCTGCCACTAAAACAAAACAGCAACCTGGAGATGTGCTGATGTTCAAAACCCCTGGTGTGGCTCTACAATTATTAAACAGCACATCCAACAAGCTGCCTGCATTAAAACCCCACGAAGGGACCAGGGACCTACTACACTTTCAAAGCAGAACGAGGTTACATCCATCTCTCCTGAGCATCCACACCCGGGAAATCACTTTGGAATGAAGCTACTGCTGACTAGGGAGAGAAACCACGGGAAGGGAAGGGAAGCAGCAGCTTCTGGAGTGGAACTGAGGGACAGAACTGGTTCAGCCTCAGTGCCTGCAGCTGTGAGAGGTCTCTGCAGGCACAAACACAGCTGCCCCTCCTGGAGGCAGCATTGCCCAGGCTCCTCTGACTGAAAACACCTGTGTCCACCACCTGCAGCAACAGCTGAGGCACCTGCAGCTCCACACACCACTGTTCTGATCTCCCCATGAGTAACACCAGGGTGCACTCCTCCAGAAAATCATACATTGCTCTAGCAAGTGCTCCAGAAAGCCCCAAACTACAGATCTACATCGTTTCATACAGTTTGCCTTCCTAACTGAGCAGCATTTCATATTCCCAGCTTTTCATCGTCACGGGCTCTGACCATTCACCTTTCAAAATCAGACTTGGCTCATTGCAGACATCTGAGGGCTTCACTTTGTATCCTGCAGCTTTTAAAGGCCCAGCAGGAACCAAGACCAGACTAAGCTCAACACAGAGACCAAAACTCCATCCTTACGTTGTTTTCTGTTACTTGAATTGCATGACTAGGACTAAAGATAATTTAGTAATTCCTGCCCTTCATTAACGGAATGAGAGGCTCTCAGCTAAAAATTAGAAAGACCTTTCCATGTTTCAAAACAATAAATCTAATTAAATTCAAATTTTATACAACCTTACAACATGTTTTAGGTATGCAGAGTAAAAAGATTTAAGAGGCAGCCTGAATTACTTACAAGATTTTTTTCACCACATAATTGTTAAATTAAGACAATTTGCACACACTGCTACAAGACACTTCAAACAATCCCTTATATGTAGCCCATGAGACTCATCCTCAGGGGAAAAACCCACATATTTTAGGAAATACTGATGTGACACAATTTTCCTTCCTTGTTTTTGTTGAGCAGAAAAGGCCATGACTGAGCAGAGTTCCAAGGAGGGTAGGGACATCTTACACCTCTGGGAGGGACGGGCACAGGCTGCAGCAAAGGGCTATAAAAAGGTGATCCTCAGTGACAGTTTGTGCACCTCAGCCTTTAAAAATAACAGCAAGCCACGGCAGCAGGGACACCTGAGGAGAAACCCAGGCAGGCTGTGGCACTCTGAGCTGCAGGCAGAGCCCGAGGGCTGTGCTGAGGCTCCTGAGGAACCCAAGAGCCCCGTGTTTGTGGCACGGGGTGTGCCGTGCTCAGGGCAGGGTCACGGAGCCCCGGGCACACCCCAGCCCATCCCATCCCCTCCCCTCACACAGCCACGGCCCAGCCCGAACCACCCGCAGAGTTACTCACTGTGACAAGGGCCACGACTCCCGGCCTGCCCCAAACCTCTGTGTTCTCAGCTCATCACAAGCTCGGCCTCTGCCCCCGAGCCTCGGCAACACCCTGGGGACTCAGCTGGGACACAGCTCTGGGCACCCCCCTCAAACTCGCCACTCCTCCCTGCCCAGCTGGGGGGATCTGCTCCCGTCCCGCCTCATCAGGGTCGTGATCAGCTCCAGGTGATGGTGCCCTGGCATCAGGTGCACCTGGGCCACTTGAACTTGTAACTCTCCTCAATAGAACACCCTGAGGGTAACAGGTTACCCACCCCTCAGGCTGGTTAGGGCTGAGGCTTGTGTGAAGACAGAGCAGATATTTAATTAAAAAATACAGAGAACGTCAGCCAGTCACAGTGACCGTACAGAACAGAGAGAGGTAAAAAAAAACCGCCTCAGAGTTCTCTTTGATTCTCAACCCAGCACTGTTAAATATATAACACAGCTCTGTTCCCTGCACACACAGCTTCCCTGATCTACTATAAGTGTGCATAGGAACAACACCTCTTATATTAAAAGAAAAAAGGAGCAAACAAAAGTAAATGGAGTTCAGACAGCACAGAGCAGAGGTGAGGGCAGCAGTGGCCGGGCTTTACCTGCCTGCCGAGGGACAGGGCGGGCGCTGTGGGGACGCCGGGGCTGAGGAGGGAGCACCGTCCCTCAGGTCCATCACGATCCATCACGATCCGTCGGGTCCATCACGATCTGTCAGGGCCCACCGGGTCCATGGGACCTTCCCTCTCACCTCAGGTACACCCACGAGCCCTGTCCGGCCACACGAGGTGTGGGGGCCGGGCGGCGGCTCCCCCGTGCTCCCTCCCCTCACATCCCCCCGTTGAGCTTCCCGGGAAACCCCCAGGACCCCTCCTCGATCCCGGGGTTGAGGGAGCACCAGCTCCTCCCTCGGGGTGTCCTCGCCGGGAGGGACGGGACGAAGGGGCCCGGACCCCGCTCCCTCCCTTCTCCCTCCCTCCAGGACTTGAGGGACCGACCCCCCTCACCGAGCCCGGCCCACACGGCAGCTCGTGAGGACAGACGGACACACAGACACACAGACACTCGTCCTGCTTCCCGAAATTTTATTAGCAAATCGCAGTAACAAATATTTCTTAGTTATTTTTGACAGTCTGTGCTATTTCCCAGCACACACGCACACAAAAAAAATCAGTATTTCTCTTCATAAAAATATAGGTAGATTTAAAAAAAAATCAGCATTAAAATGAGAATAAAAATAGTCATATTTTAATAAAAATACTTACAGCTTGAGGGCTTTTTTCCCCTAGACTATCACTTCTTTTCTCTCCAGGTTCCCTACTGCTTTTCTCCCCCACCAAAGCAAATTCTGCAACGTAAATTGTTTTAACAACACTAGTACGGAACGAACACAGAGAACTCGCACTGTGAAACCTCCTCACGAGCCACAACCCTTAGTCCTGAGAACAAGAGACTCCCCACTCACAGCCTGCTCCTCTCCGGCACAGCCAGGGAATGGTTTGGGCTCCTCTCCGGCACAGCCAGGGAATGGTTTGGGCTCCTCTCCGGCACAGCCAGGGAATGGTTTGGGCTCCTCTCCGGCACAGCCAGGGAATGGTTTGGGCTCCTCTCCGGCACAGCCAGGGAATGGTTTGGGCTCCTCTCCGGCACAGCCAGGGAATGGTTTGGCTCAACAGGAGCGCTGTGTGTGGGTTTTCTGTGCCACCTCACATGGGAGCCACTTGGATCCAACCCTGCTGGGGGCCTGTCCTCACCTCACCTGGGCACAAAGATGATGGAGACTGAACACCCTGAGCTGCCTCTCCTGGTTTTGTTAAAACACCTCCTTACACCTTTTATTAATGTACAAATAATAAGCCAGAGCTTATGGCTTCACACTGCCCTTCCCCTGCTCCCCACCTGGCTCAGTAGCTGCCAGGATTTCACAGTAGAACAATGCCCTCACCTCCATGACACAGCCCTGACCCAAACCCCACAGCTGTTTTAACCAGGGCTTCATTTGCAGAAGTGCCATTTCCTTACACATCCCACAGCCTCCAGTTTGGGAACTGAAGGTATTTCTGAAACCCCAGAAATTCAGAAAAATACCACTGGCTTGGAGTTTACTCAATTTTCCATATGCCAGGGGAAGCAGGAAGCAGAATTTGCCGGGCAGGTGTTATATTTGTAGTGTTCTCTTCATGAAAGGTGCCCAACCAGCAACGAGGCCCCCACACAGCCACTCTCGCTCACTGCCCCTGGTCTGGAGGGGAGGAGGACTCAAAGTCAACCTCGTGGGTTACTTTGAGACAAGAACAGTTTTATCATTGAGCTAAAGCAAAATATATTATTAATAATAATAATAATAATAATAATTAAAAATAATGAAAAGGAAAAGAGAGAGCAGTAACACCCAAGGAAGAGAAGTGATGCCAGCACAACTCTCACCCCCCGGCCCAGCCCTGAGCAGTGAGCTGTGTCCCAGCCAGCTCCCCCAGCTCATCCACTGAGCACCATTCCATGGGCTGGGATGTGCCTGGGACCACTGGGGTCAGCTGTCCTGGCCATGCTCCCTCCCAGCTCCTTGAGCAGCTCCTCACTGGCAGGGCTGGGAAACTTGACTTGGGGAGACCCTTCTGAGCAACCACTAAAGCATCAGCACGTGATCAACACGTTCTCCTGCTGAGCCCAAAACACTGCCCTGTACCAGCCACTAACAATAACATCAACTCCATTCCAGCTGGAACCAGGACACAATGAAACAACAGGTTTTCCTGTTACTGCTCCCTCTTAACACAGCACTTTTTGAGGATTCTGCTCAAGAATCACACAGAAAGCTCATAAATGCACCTTTTAAATGTGAAGAGAAGCCCATGCACTATCCCTTATCCCTTGAGCAGGCACGTGTCACAGGCTGAGGCAGCACAAGACATGAAATAAAAGGAAATTAAATAAACAGTAGCAAAATGCAGTGCCATATTGGCAGAAACATCCACTCTCCTGCTTCCACATTCTCTTTCCCTTCCTTCAACCTTCCCATCCAGGATCACCTTCACTCCCTCCACGTCCCTCTCACACTCATTCCTCCCCACTGCTTTTTTTTTCCTCCCACCACCTCCTTCATTTCACGTTTCTTCCATCAAATCCTCCTTTCTGCCCCTCTCCTCCAATGCTTCTTCTACATTCCCTTCCTTCCACAGAAACACTTTCTTATCAACTGCACTTTAGCCTCTACCTAAAGCAGGGATACAGGGTTGCAAATAAAAGCAGCATATTTTTATTTCTTTCTTAGAAACTGGAAGCCACCAAAACTAACCTGACACTGGTTTTCAGCACCAGTTCACACCTCCTGCTCTAAAATCTCAGCCTAGAAGTGACCAACATAAAGCCAAACAAAACCAGTTTCCTTGTCCATCCAGAGTTGTTTCTAATAGGCTTTCTGATTTTTAAATTTATTCAATGGCAAAATAAATACGAATTTCTAACAACAATTGCATTAAGTGAAAAAAAATAACCTATTCTATACACATTTTTTTTGGTACCAATCGAACAATACTGGCTTAGAAACTAAAAATAGTTAAAATGATGCAACTTCCCAGTGCAGAGATGTTACATCAGTATCAAAGTGCTCACTTCCTCAATTTTGGGTACAACTCCCTGAATAAAACACAGATGTTTGCTGTCTGGGTTACAATGTAAACAGCACCTACACAAATAGGTGTTAACCAGACTCCAATGTGCTGACAATAATTGACAACAATAACCAAGTCCAACAGAGACTATTTCTTCAAACACCTGGGTTTTTTTGAAGGCCCTGCTTTGGTGAATATCCTGCCACCATCCTGTAAGAACACTGGATTTGGGTGCATGGAAATCACTACAGCATTTTCTCTCTTTTTCATCCACAAGTTGCCCTGGCCTGTGTCAGAGCACAGTCCTTGCTGCAGAACAGCACTGTTCCCAAAACCAAGGTCATGGTGTGTGATGGCATCGGCATTTCCTCCTCAATGACAGCAGTAGCAGAGCCCTGCACACAGCCAACCCAACCTGGCAGGTACCTGCCACCACCACGTATTTATGCCATTAACAAACACAAAAACTGCATTGCAAAGTGTCCTGAAGACTCACTAACAATTTCCCTGACTGAAATAGGAATGCACATGGTCTCCACCCCTGTGCAGGACAGGAATTACTCTGCAAGAAAAGATTATCAGTAGAAACCCCACACCCTGAGTGCATCACAAACAGATTGAAGTATCACTGAAACACTCAACACAGAAAAGCACTCCAGCTGCTGCTTGTGCTGTGGCATTTCCCTGGGGATCTCGATTCCCAGTTTTCCAAGATGCTCAGCAGACATTTAATGCCATCACCCAGCTGCTGGTGCTGTTGGAGAAGCAAGAAGCATCACACCAGTGACTCAGCCAAGTCAAGGCCTGCTGCCAGGGCTGCTTCCTTCAGCAGGGATGGAAGGCTCCTGTGTCTCCTGCCCGTGGAATTCTCATCCCATTAGGATATGCTGCTTCTCCTCTGAGGGGGGACTTCTCTTTGGGAAAGATCCTCACTGTCACTGTCACAGTTCCTCTGAAACACAAAGGCCACAGCGTCTCAGGCACGTGCATGAGATACCACACAGTGCTCTGACATCATCAGTGCACCATCTGTGGAGGAAAGCAGAGCCAACAGGACCCTCACAGCTGCATTCCAGAAGGTCACAGGCAGTTCTGGGGTCCCCACCCTCCATCACACACAGCTCTCCCTGTCACAGCAACACAACGTGCAGCCCACTGGAGACACACGCAGAGGATGCCACGGTCCCATCTGGGCTCCCGCTCCAAACCACAGCCCTCCTGTTGGGCTGTGCATCCAGGTAAAGGACAGCAAAAATCACTGCCCAGGAAAGCTGGTTCTTCTCCTCCCCCCCCTCAGGAAACGCACGTACCTCCTCCTGCAGCAGCACCCTGCTCACCAGCGAGCGGGACAGGCGGTTGCACAGCGAGACGATGCGGTAGGAGAGCTGTGGAGGGAGGGCAGAGGGGCAGTTTGACCACACAAACCCACCCAGACAGATCCAAACGCTTCATTCCCCACTGCCTGCAGCGATTTTACACTCAAGCCCCGTGTCCTGCCCTCTGACCCCCCCAGGTGAGGAGGGTTAAAGCTCCCTGCGTACCTTCCACCGCCTGCGGGCGTACTGCCTTTTGAAGTTCTCCATGTTCACAACAGATGATTTCCGAACCAGAGCCTGCTGCTTGTCCATGGGCTGCAAGATAAAAGAGCAGTTTTATTGTCTGCCTCCCTTGGGTGCATAAAATATGTAAGATTCCCCAGGTGCACTGGGGCTGGCTGGGGAGGCCGTGGGTTCATGCAGGGAAAAGCAGCAGAAAAAGAATTCAGTCCAGTCCACCCTGTGCCTGGACAGGACTCCTTTGATCTCAGAAAAAATCCTAAAACTGGAGGGTGCTAAGGATTGCTTTCACTTTAGTAAAGCTGCTAAGCTGCTTCTCAGTGCACACCCACCCCATCTCCATTTCCTCTGGATGACAACACTGCAAGAACATGGGAAAAGGGTGGCTGTCATTTAGTACTGGTGACAGGGACACACTGGCTGTGTCCTTTAACCACCCCCAGAGTATGAGGGCACAAGGCATTGACACCCTGGCTATAAATATGTAAGAATTGCAATACCTGACTCTGGCAAATAGGAAATAAAAGGAATATCTATCAGAATTCAGATGTGCCCAGCACTTGGGGAGTTCAGTCTGGTGGTAAGGAACAGATGTTCCACAGATCCTGACACACAGTCCTTCTGAAAGGGAAGCACATTCCACCCCAAAAGCACATCAAGATCTGCATAAACCAGAAAACTGCATCTAACAGATTGAGGGGGGAAAGGGTTCCAACCCAGATCTGGTAGAAGTGAAAAGAGAAAGACCAGGTATGAATACCTCAGAGATCACAGAGTGCCAACCATTCCAGCTGTTCTGATCTGTGTATGCAGGAAGGGGATAACAGAAATATTTGTACTGAACAGGGCTGGAACGCAGCCAAGCCATGCACCTGGAGCAGCAAGAGGACCAAAGGAGAATGGAAAACACACCAGTGAGGCTTCAAAACATCTTTTTCAGCAAAAGAATTGAAAATGTTTGTGACTACAAATGCACTTTTCTCATCAGATGCCGCAGGTTTGGCAGCATCTCAGCAGCAGTTCCAGGAGCCAGCCATCAGCTGGGCCCTTCCCATTCAGAGGTGACACACCACTCGATACAACAGACCTGGGACAGCGAAGCATTGCACTGTAAATACCATTTCCTCGTGCTGCAAACGGCCAGCACGGTGCAACAGGCTGGCAGGAATCGATCTGCAGGGGAAATAATGTCACTGGCTAAATGTCAGCTGCACAACCACCGGGAAAAGTGTCCCAGTGCCCTTTCCACAGCACAGCCTTGGCTGACTGAACAGCTCACCCTACCCCAGCCCGTGTATAATGACCCCCATCTCCGAGTACCCTGTACAGCAGGGACCTTGGCACTGCCTCAATCACCAGAACATCTTCTCAAAAGCACTCCAGGACAAGTCACAGCAACGTTGCCCTCACCCAAAGTGGCCTCCTCTGATGGTGCTTCTCATGGTGCATTGGCTCACACAGAAAATCTGCGTGAACAAACAACACGAGGATGGCTGAGGGAGGGCAGACTCTCTTTCCTGAGAGGCTTTTCTGCAAATACCAACCTCTCACTAGGCTTTCAGTTATATTTTAAGAATTAAAACTCTCCCCCTCATAAAAAAATCCTGGGTTTCCCTGGATAGTGTCCATGATGTATTCCAGCCAAAGGAACCTGCAGAAGCGACGACTGAAGCATCAGGAGACAATAAAAAATGGGACACACACAAACCTCGCAGTGCTGTTTGTCACAGCAGAGCCCAATTCTCCCCAGCCACCAACACCAGCCTGCCAGGGTCATCTCCTGCCTATCCACAGGACTTGGAAGCTTTGGAGGATTTTCCATCTGGTGCCAAGAATGAGGCCACAGGGAGCACCCCCTGCACAAATAACTATTTACTGTGTTCAGAACAGACATGGGAACACCTGTGCAGGTTAATACTCTGTAACCAAATGCCTTCTTTGAATACAAGACAGCAGGGCAGGATTCAAGTTTGGGTCAACTTTTCCTTTACTTTCTAAAACTTAAGGAAAAAAAATTAATAATCTTTACAGCAAGAACACTAGTTCAAATCCCACACCACAGATTGAGTCAGTTGTAGTTTGTCATCTTCTCCGCTGCAGAAAACAAACCAGAGGATTATGACATCACTTCTCAGTCACATATGAACATTTGCACTGTTAAAACTGCAGTTATTTGATCATTACAAGTTCCCAGTGGTGTCTTTGGAATAGGATTTCTTTGGTATAGGACAGGAAACTAAATCCTTTAGTTTAAAATTCAAGGAAACACCTTTGATGGCAAAAGACTTCCCCTGCACAACTGGCTTTAAAATCATCCTTTTCTTTGCTGTCAGCAGTTTGACAGAGCATTTCCACAGTACTGCCTAAGTGTTAAATTACTATACCATTTCCTCTGTTTTACAATACAGGAGTTAACCTTTGCAAACATTTCTCTGTAGGACTGCCTGCACTGTTTCCTTCAGCCAGCCAAAGACACTATAATGAGACCTGCATTAGTTTCCAGGCACCCAGTTTCTAATAAGTCCAGGCTGACTTATTCTTTATTCCAAGTTAATAACTCGGTACCTTCAGGAACTGTAATCCATGATGCACTGATACAGGCAACACAAAAGGCTGTAGGTTTAGATATGTCCATACCACTGTGAGAACCTTGTTCCTGCAAGTCCAGACACTCTAAAGAAAAAAATCATCATTTATCACCATGAGATAAAAAAACCTTCAACACTACAAAGCACTGGGAGATGATGGCTTTGGTCAGCACCTTGTGCAATACATCAGAACTTCTACTTGGATTTTAGGTGATGCTTTTGGGGAGAGTTTGTGCACTGGGACCTTTTTAAACTGAGGTACTGGAAAGAGGCAGCAAACCCTGCCCCTGGCCTGGCCTCAGCATCACTGATGGGATTCTGCTACACCAAGATTCAACCCTGCCAGGAATTCTTCACAGCGGGATCTGTTCAGCAGCTCCCTCAGCGATTCGTTCACGTCTTTGCTGAACACAGAGTCGAAGTTTCTGTTCACGCCGGCTTCGTTTTCCAGTTGAAAACCGCTCATTAAATCCTGTATCCACCTGAGTTCCTCGGAGAGTTCCTGCCTGAGGGATTCAAACTGGCCCTGCAGGCCGGTGTATCTCCCAGCCACGCCCGTCAGACCGGCGTCCACAGCCTTGATCTCCTCCTGCAGGTGCCTCCTCAGGGACTCGATTTTCCGGCACTCGTACTTCAGCTGGGACAGCTTGTGCCTCACGCCCTCGCTCTCCTCTTTGTACCAAGCCTCCTTCTCGTTGTAGATGGAGAGCAGAGCGTCGATGTCCTCCTGCAGGGAGTCCCTGGCGGCGGCCAGGGCGCCGCAGCCGCGCTCCGTGCGGGAAATGCCCTCGACGACGCGCGCGAAGCGCTCAAAGTTGGCGTAGGTGTTGTTGGGGGGCATGCTGGAGTGGCACTTGATGGTGTACTCCCTCAGCCGCTTGGCCTTCAGCTGGCTGCTCCCAACCTTCCTGTGCTCCTGTGCTCGGGGTTCTTCTTCCAGCTGGGGAGTCAGCGGGACAGAGGAACCAGCGTTACTGAGCGCTCACCGGACAGGGCAGGAGCTCACAACTCCACACAGAGGGTGCGGCCTGGCCTTGCACAGTGCTGGGAGATGCTGTGCTCACACAGGCTGGGCTCCATGCACACGATCCTGTGCTCACACAGGCTGGGCTCCATGCACATGATTAAAAAAATAAACCAAAAAACAACACCACACCAAACACACAAAAAACCCCAAACCAAACGTGACAAGTGATGTGCTTTCATTCCAGTGTGATACGAGCAAATGGCACGGCTGCAACTTATTTTCATGGTAATTTTTAGCAGTTAATAGTCTCAGGCTGTCAATACTTGTGAGAGGAAAAACAACGACCCTAAAGAAACCTCCAATTAACGTTTTGTGCGGCGCAAAGCAAAAACTGAATTTCAAAAATCCTCATTAGTCATGCTGAGATTAGCTAAATGTGTTTGCAATAAGAGACTTCTCCACACAAGCAGGCAGTGTTTATGATGAAAAATATGTATGGACACACAAATGTAAGCAAATCAGCACATGGGGTACAGCGGTTTTCTCTTGAGAGAAATCCATTTTCCACACTGACTGCATTCAACTCTCAGTCCAAGACAGCACTGAACCCAACACACACCACGTGTCCATGCAAACAGAGAAGAAGGATGGAAAAATGCAAAGCCCAGTTCAGTTTGGGAGACTGTAAATGTGCAATAGAGATCAGAGCTGGGGCACCCTCTTTCTGAAAGTTATGCTGATAAAAGAAGCCATTTGCAGAAATCCAGGGATTTACTCAGACCCAGCCAATTTGTTCCCAGTAGGTCTCTTTGAGACACCCAGGGTCACTAGGCACTTAGGGGGGCAGTTTTCCATGGAACACACCAGTAAGAGTGACAATATGATCCCAGCTTTGCTCACAGCCAAAACCAGGATCTGTTTGTTCCTCCGGTCTTACCGTTATCCAGGGATGAGACAGAGCTTCCTGAATCGTGAGCCTCTTCCTAAAAAACACCAACACAAACACCCCACAGACTCCAGTGAGAAATTCCTGGGACACAAGTCCATTGACCCACCCTTCTCCCGGGCTCCCTATGGAGCATTTATCAGGATAATGCCAGGACAACTCCCAGATGTCAGGGTTCTGTTGCTCCCCGAGCCTGCTGCTTGGCTGCAGTTTAGTTGCTGTTCTGAACTGCAGTGGGTAACTGGCCTCACTCCACACAGTTTGAATTCTTACTTCATCCAAACCTACCTGGATTTTTGTGCCCCCTTCCCTACAAAGCACCATAATATCTCTGTTTTGTTCATCTGACAAGCTCAGAATAAGTTCTTGCTGCAGACCTTTGATCCAAGTGTGCCTTAGTCGAGGTGTACAAGAGCAATTGTGTCCCAGCTGTCCTTTGGGACAGGACAGCACAGCACTGCAGGAGCTGTTGTTTCCTGAAAGCAACATTTCTGAGGGGAATACTTCAACCTCATCAAACTTGATCAGTCCTAACTTCCTCCTGCACTGTGGCTGTGTGGTGAACAGCACATCAGGAGCACTGAGAACCAAAGAGAAACACAGCTATCATCACTGACTTCTCCTTTCTTACAGACAGGCTGCAGGACCTGTGCAAACCTCTCAAACCCCTCCCCACTCTGAGGCTCTGATGATTTGCAGAAATCTTGACTGAACAGTCCTCTCCTACCTATTTTCTCTCCCAGTGAAGCCACTAGGAAGGACCACAATGGTCTGACTTCCCTCCAGGACAAAGTCACAGGGAAGGAGATGCTACTTCTGCATGAGCTTTAAAGTTCCTCTGAGCTGGGAATAAAGATCTGCAGAGCTGTCACACAAACTCCAGGTGACTGCAGACAGACTTGGAGCAATCCCTTATCAGCAGCACATGGAAAGATTTTTCTGGCACGGCACCACTAGGGGCATATTCTGGGATGGTATCACCTCATAAGAGACTGCAACGGTGGAGTGGGAGTTACCCTGAACTCGAGATTCTGCTCACCATTTTCAGCTCTTCAGCCCCACCCTGTCGTAAAAGCTTGACTCAGGTGAGAATTCAGTCCTGAACACGAAATTTAGCTGAGAAGATTTGGTTCCTGAGGGTTCCTGGGGCAGTGATTAACCAGGGGCAGCATCCCTGCCTTGCTCTGGGATGGCAGCGCATCTGCAAGGCAAGCTTTGCACACACCTCACCAGGTTTATTTGAGAGACAAACAGGTCTTTCTGGAGTTTTTTCTTACCGTGTATCTTTCACCAGAAGCTTCTGAATGAAATCTTTGGCCAGGTCACTGGTATTGCTGAAAAATTCTTCATCAAAGTCGTAATTCACGGCTGTGATGTTGGCAAGCGTTTCTTGTTTAGTTTCTCCAAGGAAAGGTGATGCACCACTAAGCCTGGATGAGCCAGAAGGAAGAATCAGTTGGAAAAATTCAACTGCACAAGTTCTGGTGAAGTGACAGTGACTGTGTAACACACTCTTGGGGCATTTGTGGCTCTGGTGCTTCTTTTTTCCTCTGCAAAGCTACTGACAAGTTCCCTGCACAGCAGGTTCAGCCAAGAGCCCTTTCTCAGGTGGATCCACAACACAGTGTGTGATCAGAAGCCTTGCCCAGGGCCAGCTCCCCTGGACAGGTAGGGCCAAGCTGCTCAGTCAAAGGAATCCACAGACAAAAGGATTTTGGCTGCAATAAAATCCAACAGCTGCTGACCAACACAAATGTTCATTCCCTTGGCACCCTGCTCCAGCTGCAAGGGTATAATGGAGGCACCATCAGAATAAAATGTCATTTAGCAGTCCTTACTGAAGGGAAAGCTTTCCTCCTGCTTTGCTTATCTATGAGCTGACAGGGTTGATCTCCATCTTGATGGCTCTATTTACCATTGCTCCATAATACTGGAGTGTCAGAGCAGAGTCACTGCAGGCTCCTCCTGCCCTCCTCTCCTCCAGGTTCCTCCCTCCCCAGCACACAGGGATGCTGACTTGCAAAACTCTGCTTTCCAGGAAACGTTATTTTGATCTCATGCCTTTTTTATCATCTTCTGGGCTGTTATTGTGCTTCTCTGTTATGCCCAGCTTTGACAGCACAGTTTCAGGATGCAGCAGGCTCAAAAAAACACAGGACTGCAGCAAACTCCTGGGATCTAAACTGAAATGTTGAGTACCAAACCATTTGTTTACACAATCCTGCTCAACAGACCTTCTACTCTGCACTGCCACTACCACACTGACTGGGAATTTTGGGGGCAGGCAGAAAGTCAGATGGCACCACCTGGCCTTTTAGGTCAATCCCCAGCTACCACGTGGTTTTATCCACAGAATAAAACATTTGAGTGCATAAACTGCTTCCTCTCTCTCCCTACAGTCACACAGTGACTCCAAAGCCGCTGACAGAGCAAGGCAGCACCAGTGAGGTGCTCCAGCTGTCGCTGATGAAGTGAATGTCATGCCATTAACCACAGTCACTCACTTCTGAACAGCTTTCACATACTCCCTCCTAGGCTTTTGTTCCATCTCTGCTGCCCACAAAGAAGGCTACAAGCAGGCACCTCACCACACACCATGGGCTTTGTTCCAAAACTAAAGCCTGGAAAGCTGCCCTAGAGCCTTGGTTTCTTTGCCCTCTCCCCAAACTCTGCTGTGAAGGAGCTCTAATTCCACCTTCTGGCCCTCTGCTGGGAGCCAAAACCAGCAGTGCTCTGTTCTGATTTTTTTTTGCTGTTTGGGACCCAGTTTTGGAGATCTGTAAAATCAGAGGATTCCCAAGTCCTAATATCTAATGGAAATGACTTTTGTCATATCCTGACTCAGGGCCTGTAAACAGGTAACAGCAGACAGACCTCAGCACTAAAGCCCAGTGAATCACTCCAGTGGTCACTGAATTGAGGGCTGGGCTGCATTTTGGTCTCTACACCTGATGATGGCACCCATTTGATGATGGCACCCATTTGATGATGGCACCCATTTGATGATGATGGCACCCATTTGATGATGATGGTACCCATTTGATGATGATGGTACCCATTTGATGATGGCACCCATTTGATTGCTGCCACGTTTGCTAAAGCAGGATCATAAACACACCCTGCTTATTCAGAACAATTCAGGACAAGAGGCTTTCAACTTACCAGGCGATACTAGTTACAGAATCACAGGATCAGTCAGGTTGGAAAGGACCTCTGAGATCATTGAGTCCAACCCTTGACCCAACCCCACCTTGTCACCCAGCCCATGGCACTGAGGCCACATCCAGTCTGTCCTTAAACACCTCCAGGGATGGAGAATCCACCCCCTCCCTGGGCAGCCCATTCCAATGGCTGAGCACTCTCTCTGTAAACAATTTCTTCCTGATACCCAACCTCAACCTCCCCTGGCACAGCTCCAGGCCGAGCCCTCTTGTCCTACTGCTGGTTCCTGGGAGAAGAGACCAATCCCCACCTGGCTCCCCCTCCTGTCAGGGAGTTGCAGAGAGTGCTGAGGTCTCCCCTGAGCCTCCTCCTCTCCAGGCTGAGTCCCCCCAGCTCCCTCAGCTGCTCCTCATCAGACCTGTGCTCCTTCCCCAGCTCTGTTCCCTTCTCTGCCCCTGCTCCAGCCCCTCCATGCCCTTCCTGAGCTGAGGGCCCAGAGCTGGACACAGCACTCCAGGGGTGACCTCACCAGCACTGAGTGCAGGGGCAGAATCACTCCCTGCTCCTGCTGCCACACCATTCCTGAGCCAGGCCAGGATCCATTGGCCCTCTTGGCCACACTCTGGCTCATGTTCAGCTTCCTCAACCAGCACCCCCAGGTTCAGTCACACAGTTGAAGGCAAGCAAATTCCTACTCCACAGCTAACGGTGCAAGCTGCCCCCTCCCACGACACAGAGCATGTTCCTTATTGCTGATCACTTGTAGGGAGACATTTTTCTACCTTAATCCCAGTGGCCATGACGAGCAGCCAAGCAGGTAAAACATCTCCTGCACTGGATGCAGCACAGAAAGCCCCCTGGAACTCTGCCCCCAGCACAGAACCCTCAAGGCAACTGTGAGACCCCCCAGAGCAGCTGGCTCTGTGCATCACTCATGGCATGCCAAGCATTCCCACCTGCTTATCCTCAACTCTTAAGTTTTCCTCTCATCATCTGTGGACACCCATAAATAGAATTTAAGAAGTGTAATGCCCTGGCAAGTACAGGTTTGTCACTGGAGACCAGAATGCTGATAAAAACCAAGGATCTGGACAATATTTCAAGCCCCTTTCCCAGAGCTTTCCATTTGTGCAATTCCCACATCAAACCAGAGGAAAAGCAAGGAGTGCTGTCCCTCTGTCACACCCACTGCCACACAAGCAGGTCCCCAAATAGTCAAGCTCCATCTTCAAACTCTTCACTGCTCGTCCCCAGATGCCCACACAGACTCATTCCTTTGAGAGCCTGAGCTTGTCAGAATTTCCTCCTTTTATTTATTCATCACCAGTTGACACACTTTTCTTCTAAAGAGTATCTGTGCCTAAGGAGCATTCTGTGATCTCTTTTTCCCCCTGTGTTCACTGACTATGATGCTAACCCCAGACAGCCTTTGCTTTACCAGCTTTAACAAACCCCTTTTTTTGCCCTGCAAGTTGAATTCTCAGTTCCCAGGCTCAGCTTTTCTGCTCTTTTTCCACCTTAAACTCACCTTTTTGAACATGAACGTATTTATGCATAACAATGACAGGCAATCTGAAGCCTCCCTGGTTTTTTCCAGCTGAAGTGACACACCTTGCCAGGGGTGCTGTTACACTTTCCCCTCCACACTCTGGCAGCTCAGTCATCTCACCAGCAATGGATATGCTTGGCTTTTCCATCCTCTGCCATTGATGAGGTCCCAGGGGGAAGCAGAAATGCCCAGGGGGTGCCAGGGGACATTTGCTCTCAGTTTGCTCAGGATGCCCCCCTACTTTTAGCCCTTATTTTCAAGCTGGGTAAGAGCAGGAGACAAAGCAGTGGCCACCCCCTGTGTGCAGGTGTGTCCTCAGGTGGCTGCAGGAGGAGCTGTCCTGCACTAAGGCAAGGCAGCTGCAGCAACATTGCTGCTGCAGCAGAGCTGTTGTACTCACAGGATGTAGGTGATGACTCCAATGCTCCTAAAAAAACAAAAAGGAGAGGAATGGCAAGGGTTAACACGTGACCTGTGCTCTTCCTGATGTTCAGAACACGAAAAAGGGAAGAGCAGCTGCAATACAGGCAGGAGAGCCACCGTGGCCTTACATAACCACTGACATCTCTCTCACAGCTCAGTGTTCCAGGCACAGAATTAACTTTGCATGTGACAGCAGGTACCGTGGGGATCTGGAGCCTGGGTTTCTGCTCCAGTGGGTGTTCACTACAGCCCCCATCAGAAATGCAAAGGATGCTTGCTTTGGGGTGACCTGGTTTGCCTCCCTTCTCAGCAGATGAGATCAGTGCACAGGTCTCCTCTGCTCTTGTAAATAAAGCTGTCACCAGCAGGCACTGCTTGCACTGCCTTCTTCTAAGAGTGCTCCTCTGCAGGGGGCAGTGGCAAACACTTAACTGTAGCTGCCATCACTCATTGTCATTTTGCAGAAATTAAATGCTTATTTTTTCATTTCAAAGGATGCATAAAAATGGAACGACAGAGGATGGAGGTATTAGCTGTGTTTAAGTTTTTTGTCTCATTTTGTGGCAGAGCAATGGATTCTACTCAAAACAGGAAAGAGTAAGTGTAGAGAAACCTGGGGAAAAAAATACAAATATTCTAAAAAAACTTACCACATATCTGCAGCTAATCCAAGTGGTTCATAGTTTACAATTTCTGGAGCTGTAAGAAACATTTAATTAACCATCAGCAACGAAGTAACACGTTTTTACCAGGCTGGAGTAGCAAGGACAAGAACTACCAAGAGAGAGAAAGGGGGGCAGAGAGAAAAGTTACTTATAGGATGCATTATTTGTAATTTTATAGCCCAAACAGGAGCTCAAGATCACTGCTGTCCAGAAAAGATTATGAAGGGTGACTTAGTGCAACTCAACAAGGGTAAAGCAGGTATTATACACTAATTACAGTGTAAATTACCACAAATAACAGATGATTCCAGCTCCCAAGAACGTTGCTGCCCTCAAGAATCAGAGCTTTGGTTTTGTTTTGAGCTGGTGCCATTCCAGCAAGTCTGGAAAGGCCAGTCAGGAAGAGCCCTCGAGCAAGAGCTGGAAATGACTTGCCAGGCTACACTGCTATCCATGGCAAACTGTTATCTTTATAGGAAACACCTCCTCACTGGAAAACATCCCCCCAACAACACTGCAAGCAGGAGAAAGGGGGAGATAAGATGAAAAAAAGGTATCTGTAACAGTTGTCTTGAACTGGAATATTAATTACAATTCTCTCCCTGCTCTCAAACCAAGCCCAAACCCCCTAACTGAAACTAGGAGAAAGGAGTAGGATTATCCCAAAATCCAAGTGAGGCAGGTTAGAATTGTGATCAGGGAGGAACAGGAAGAATCAGGTGGTAAAATGGGAAGGGTTTTGTACTCAGCAGGTGACCACTGTGAGGCATTTTAATCCAGAAAGCAATGACAGAGGTCCCCACGTCCCTGTGCCCTCACACACCACAGCACAGGGAGAGTTACTCCAGGCAACAAGGAAAGAAATTATCATTTACATTTGCAGGGTTTCACAACCTCAATCCTGAATTTGCACCTCTCAAGCATTTATTTGGCAGCAGTTCACTCTCACCTGGTTTATAGGAAGCACCTTCCACCTACCCCAGAAAAATAAAGCAAACCTCCAGATTTAAGTCACCTGGGGAGAAAGGAGATGTCTCAGCTTCCTCATGTCATGCAAGACAAAGGAACACGTCACTCACCCACAAATTCTGGAGTTCCAAAAATGTTTTTAAACTCGACTCCATCTTCTATTTTGTGAGCCAGGCCAAAGTCAATGAGTTTGATGTGTGGAACAGGGATATTCTTGTCTAGAAGCATTATGTTTTCAGGCTAAAAATAACAAAAGATGGATCTATGTTATTAAAATATTAATATCTTGGAAAGTAACAGAGTTTTCAAGTGCTTTTTTTTTTTCCTTTGCAAGCACAACCCTGTAGAACAAGAAACAAGAACAAGAAACACATCTGTGTCTAACCATTTATGATGGTTTTGATGAAGGGATGACAGTGAAATCTGTGAAATCTTGAGGGGTTCTAGTCACATCTGGACCTATTTAGGGAAGGAAAATGATCTCCTCCGTGAGACAATTCACAGCTGCAACAAGGCCAGGAAGATCTGGGATTTACCAGCTGAACAGTCCAGAAAATGGGTAGAGTTGGGATCAGAGGTCCCAGACCATATGATGGCAAGCTATTAAAAGAACATTCCTCACAGCATTGTAGGGAAAAGCTGGAGCTGGAACTGTGAAATTAAAACTGTCATCTTCAACCACAGACTTTACTCCTTTCCCAGATTTAAGGGAAATTCCCTAAACTTCTTTCTTGAACTGAATTTCTCAGCCTTATCTGCTCCCTTCCACGGCCCCAATTCACAGGGTTCAGAGTAAACTCTGGGTTCAATTTCTCTCCCATGAAGAGCTTTAATTTGCCATAATTTAATCATAAGCTTAAGAGCAACAGTGAGAGAGTTTGATTCCCTGCTGGCCTCTCCACAGCAGATCCCAGCATGGAAATTGCTCCTGCTAACACACATTCTCAGTCAGAGCTGCACTGGGAGAGAGAGCATGTGAATAATTTATTGTCATAGTCTTAGACTAAGAATGTTTTAGCCTCAGGCTACCGAGTCAGGTTTTTTTTCCCATGGATTTAGGGCACAAGTGTTCACCTCAGATAGAGGATGCAAGGTTCTTAAAGCAGCCAGAACAGCCTGCAATGGCAAAGCCACAGTCACACCTCTGGGACTGGCTGATTCCTTAGGTGTAAAAGGCACTGGAGCTCCACTGCAGCTGAGGGAGCCCAGTCAAGTGAGGAGATAATGTTTTAATCATCTCTGTCTAATCACATCACTGCTTAAAAATACATGTCTGATTTAACACCACAAAACTCCAAACCCAGTCCTTTAAAACCCAGGAGAGAGTTATTGTGTGAATGCATTTTAGGTCATTTGACATTCACCATCAGTGAAATGATCCTTTATTTATGCTTTCTGATTTCTATCTTGCAACATCTTCACTGACCACCTGACCTTACTGGCACTAAATATCAGAGTTAGCAAGCAGAGATCAGCTGAAGTCTAAACCAGCACCTTTACCTTCAGATCAAAGTGAGCAATTTTCTTGGAGTGAAGGTAATTCACGCCATCCAAGATCTGCTTGATGAACCTGGTTGCTTCCTCTTCACTCAAAGACTCCTTCTGTGCCAGGAAGTCAAAAAGTTCCCCTCCAGAAACCCTGCAAAGCACACCAGCAAACATCCTGTTACCTGCTGCGTTGTAACACATAAAATAAATGTCAGCACAGAAAGAGAAAGCAGCCAAGAACCTCAAGGCAGTCGGGAAAAGGCCACCCTTGCAGACAATCCTGGGCTTTGTGTTCTGCTCCCAGGTGTGCCAAAACCTCCTTCTGGCTTCACCTCCCTCCCCTGGAAATTAAGGACCAGCTTTTCCATTGGTGCTGTAAGGTTTGATTCACCAAGGATTACACAGCACCCAAAAAGTCACGTTATTTGATGAATCCACTGACACTTCCCCTTTTCAACAGGTGGATTTAACCACTTCAACTGCTATTCTTCAACGTTTTCATTTGAATCCCTTTTCTTTGCAGGACAGCCTGTTCTCACACACAGCCTCGCCTGACACAGCTGACAGGAGAGCATTTATTTGCTGCTAGAATTGTTAAGAAGAGAGCAGATTGCAGCAGGTTGGAAGGCACCTAAAACTGCTTTTCCAAGTCAAGGAAGTGTTCTTAGTTACTACCAGTTTTCAGATCAAAATTGGAATATTGCTCTTGTGCCTTGTACTGAGAGTTCCAGTGCTATTTCTCTATGTATTATGAAGCAAGATGATCTAAATATCGAATTGGGGCTTGTTTGCAGCTGCTCTTCATAATTCTGCTTACATTTATTGTTTCCCGTTCATGCTGTCATTAACATTATTGGTTTATTCTCATTTCAATTTACCCACAAAGCAGCTGTTGCTCTTGGTACAGGTGACCACCCACCTGGCAGAGACTCACACAAGGCCTCACACAGAAGTCACTTGGTGCTTTCACTGTTACAACTCAACGTCTGGCAAACCAAAATGAGCTTCTACAATCCAGGAATAAATACATTGCAAGTGCTGTCTTTGGCTGCCACCTTCTCCTTCCTGTTCACCTCAGTTACTCAGCCTGGGAGGCTCTTCCTGGACCTCTGGTTTTCTTTTTGAGGGGACACACCCCAAGGGTCTCAGCACGAATTTCAGCCTTGCTGGATGGGTTTTGGTGCAGCCTGTGCAGTTCAGGAGGAAGGGAACACTCTCTCCTTTCCACACTGTAGGAGGTTTAGGGCTCTTGGTTCATTAGTCTAAAAATTATTACAGCCTACTGTGACAAACCAGTAAGGAAATGTGTGAGGAAACCCTGTCTGGGTGAGATCTGTGGGCAGTGAGCAGGGGAAGTTCATTTTCTCCACCGTTTCTATTCCAAGTGCACTTGGGCAATCCCCCCTGGCAGACTCTGCATGCGGCCATCAGGCAGCCACCTGGGCTGGCACAGCTCTGCTGCTTGTCTGGAGCCCAACCATGCAGCCACACTGCTCTCTCTTCCTCTTTCCCCCTGGGAAACCTCCCTGCTGATTGTTCCTTTCCGGTGGACTCAGAATTGAGAAGCTCTCTCTGAGCCCACACACTCCAGTCCTTCAGGACAGGCAAAAGCAGGTGCCACTTCAGGAGAAGCTGAGCCACTTGGAAAAGCCCCCCTGCTCACCTCTCCCTGGCACAGAGGACACTTTCCTCTTGCAGGAGACTGGCAACTTCCTTCTGAGGAATCTCCTCTGCTACACGAAGCAGCATCAGAAAAATGGTTCAGCTGCCCAAACTGGAGGTGCCTTAATTCCCTTTGTCTCTTGCTGCCCCCAAGAGTGGTCACTTAAACCAGCTGGGTTGGTGGCTCAGGGCACACCAGGAATTTTTTCCCCAATGTTACTTTATCAGCAAAAGACTCCCTCCTACAAAAACCCACGTGAACATCTCGTTTTCTGAAGGTCAGGGAGTGGCAAACATGACAATCTCCAGTCTCTTGTGGCATAGCCTAACACATCAGCCTAAGCTGTAGAGATCTTAAAGGAGTAATCTAAGGGAAAATTCAGCTGAAGAGATGTGATGATTTCTCATTAACAAAAGACTCAGGCTTTAAAACCAGGTTTGAGTAAATTGTTTCTCTGAACTCAGAGAAACCCTCAAGCAGAAGAGATTTAGCAATCCCAAAAGCCAGTTATTATGGAATCACAGAAAAAACCCAAACAACCAAACACTTCAGCACTGATTCCTTTGCAGTACAACACTCATAACTGCACTGCAAGTCACAGTTGAACATCCAGGGGGGATGAACACCACCACCTGCAAATGCTCCTTTCTCAAAGGTCACAGAAGATTTCCTTCCTCTTTCCCTTCCACCAGGTCACCTTATTGCCACGGCAAGGGAGAGAGAAAAGGAGACCTTTTACTGGACTTGGAAGGAAAAGCAAAGGCAAACAACACCACTGATTGCTTGGCAGGAGCTGCTTTGTGTCCACAGCCCTGACACTTCCCAGTGGAGGAGACATCAAACCTGCCTCAGGCTGCTGCTGTGTGGGCAGAGCAGGCTCCAGGCAGGGCAGGACACACAGAAAATTCACAAAGAGCTGTGGGGGGGAAATGCCTGAGCAGTGAGCACAAGGAAGGACACACTGAGCACCTGCCACGCTGCTCCTCCTGCTCCTGGACAGGACAAACAGCACCTGTGGGAGGAGGGGACAGTCTCGCCTGTGCCAGCACAGGGAGGTTGGGAAAGGGTCAACTTTTCGGACAATGCTGCTTTTAAACACCAGAGCAGCTTCTTCAATTAACCAACAACACTGGGGACGTTCTTTTGAAGCTGAAGTCCACTGTAGATTAACAGAAGAGTGGTTGGCCAGGTGCTGTAACCTTACCTTGCTAAACTGCAGGGAGTATGAGACAGAGCAGAGTGTCAGAGGGGGAGAGATCATCTACTTACAGGGAGAATTTAATTACCTTTATTAGCAATTATCCTCACCCTCAATTTGTACACAGCAGCTGAATGCAGAGGCCTTAATCAGGTCAAAACTCTGCTGCACCCAAACTTTGTGCAGCATTAAAAATCCTCTTCCCTTGCCCTCCTCTTTTCCCTTAGCTCATCTAAATGAGGAAAACACGGGAGCAGTGAGAATGGCTGCAGATTTTGCAGAGGGTTTGATGGCCTCACACGTGTGAGAGCAGGAGGGAAAATGAAATGAGCATTCAGTGGCTGCTTGTGCTTCCTCCAAGGTTCACGTCAGGGCAGCAGGAGGCCGACATGAGGTAATCCCCCTGTTAGTAAACTGTTTTCAAGTTGCCAGCACTCCCTGGCTCGGTGTCAAGTGACCTCAGCTGCCATTAAGGTACACCTGTATCCCCAGGGCACAGGGATGAACTGGGGGGCTGTTTACCAGCAACCTCACTGGGTGCTCCTGCCAAAATCTGTGAGGCCCAGGAACGCAGTGCCTGGATTGCCAGTTCCTGCCGCCCTCCCCCACGCCTGGAGGGCAGTGCCCTTACTCACAGCTCCAGGATGAGCACCACGTCCGTCTTGTTCTCGTAGATGTCGTGCAGCTCCACGATGTTGGGGTGCAGGACCTGCTGCAGGATGCTGACCTCCCTCTGGATCTCCTCCCGGCTCACCCCGCGCCGGCTCGCCCGGCTCTGCCGCTTCTTGATGAACTTGGCGGCGTATTCCACGCCCGTGCTCCTCTCCTGGCACCTCTTCACGATGGCAAACTGGCCACTGCAGGGGCGAGAAGGTGACAGAAAGGCTTTCATGGAATCACGGCTTCCCAAATCACCTTCATCCTGGGAGCCCTGAGCAGCACCTGCTGAGCTTGTTCCCGCTCCAACAGTGGGAATTCTGTGCTTAAAGGCAGTGGAGCAAAAGGCAACCTCCCACTGGGTGTGAAATGCAGCAAAGCCAAACAACCTCTGGCAAAAAGGGAGGGTGATGTTACAACCTCTAAAAAGCAGAATCAGATCTACCCCAAAAGGTTCAGGCCACCTCTCCTTCACTGGGTAATGTTTAAGGCCTTCCAGTCTGCAGCACGGCACTGGATGTTCTGAAAGGATAAATGTCTGCCTTGGGAATCATCTCTAGAGGAGCACTCAAAGGATTGAGAACACTCTGGAAATGTAGAAACCGGCCTGCAGTAGCCAATTTTCAAATAAAAGAGTGGTTTATTCAATATTTCTGCACTTCAGCTGGTAATTTAGGTGTAAAAACTGGACTAAGTGCACCTCCAGGACAAAGAATGTCCCACTGTACAACATTCCCAAGCAGTACAGTGGCTGCACTAAGGTTAAAGGGCATGTGCCTGCAATCTGCTAACCAAATTTTCCTCCCTGTGGCTCCTGAAGCAGCGCCACTGCAAAATTTCCCCCTTATCTCCCAAGGACTGGCAGATCTCCAGTCCCAGAATACACATTTGGTATCAGATACTTCCTCACTCGGGTCATTAAGTCCAACTTGCAAGGAAAAGACTCATCTTACAGGTAACCTTAACCTTTAAGCTGCTGTGATTGTGCCAGGCAGGAGCTCTTTATAAGAACCACAGACTCAAGAAATGCACCCAGATGGGACAAGGGTCCTTATCCCTTCAGGAAAAATCATTCACAACCGGAATAGAGACCGTGGCCATTTGTCAAACACATTAATTGATTCATATTTCTCCTGCTTTTCTCATTGCCTGCAAACCCAAGAGAAATTCCTTCTGCAAAACCCCCAAACTTGCCTTAATCATTCTGCTGGAGGACTTTGCTGAGAGCTGTTGGTGCAAAATAGGGGCTTTTTTGCTTGTCTAACCATATTTTGCATCTTGCTCGGTCCAGACCTTCTAAAGAGACATGGCACTAATATTTCTGTGTTTGCTTCCTTGAATTCTCTCTGGGGATGTAAATTCTGCCAGCAAAGTGGGGGAGAAAATAGTTTTTTATGAGTGCTGCTGATGTGAACAAACACAGTCACTTCTGCACAGGGATACTGCAGATTTGCTGGATTTTTGTTCACACAAAAGCTCACAAAAATAATAAAGGCACGGCCTAGGAATTCCTGCCTTCTCCTTTCACACAGTTCTAGTCTGGGACAATAATTTATCACAATACCCATTCCCCTGTGACCTGCTATTGCTCCTCTGCACGTGTCCCCACTAACACACGCTCTCCTGCTCCTATCCCAGTTTTCCTGCCATTCCCTGTAGCCCTGGAAAACTTTTGCAGACAGTCCTGACTGAGCAGAGGTTGAAGCCACAGGGAACACCACAAATGCACAATTCCCTAGCCCAGGACATGTAAGACAGTCACAGTGCAATTACTAACAGATAGTTCATGTGGAGGCTCACACAGCTGGGGAAAAAAAGAGGATTTTACAATCCCAGTCAGACACACTTTGGATTTCTACAGAGCTTGTAAGGTCAAGCACCACAGACAGCAGTATTTCTGCACCTCCTCATGCATCTGCATCCAGCACATGAGGATCAAATGGTGGCAGCTCCCCACAACTTCCAACCCAGCCCAGGATAAAAGCATTAGGAAGGAAGGATGTCCCCCTGGCAGCTGGGTGTACAGCACTGAGAAACTGAGCCCTCCAGTTCATTTCCCAGGGGCCATTTGTGCCTGAGCTTAGTCTTGAAACTCCATTTCACAGCTCAGATGGCCAAATTTCAGCAGCAGCCCTTGGCAGAATCCCTGGGTTTAGGATATGGCTGAAATGAGGATGACTGGGATGACGAGCAGCTGTATTTACAACACGCACAGGGATGAGGCTGACACTTGTGGATGTGTCCACCTGGAGCTCAGAACGTCCCCCAGAGTTCTCCTGGAGAAACTGGCTGCACAAACCTTGGACACTGATCTTAATGATCATTTTCCAACCTTAATGATATTATGATTCCTGATTGCTTTTCTTTTTTTCCCCAAGCAGTTAAGCCTGTCCCCTTTCAGAAACATTTTGGGCAGCTGTACAACAGCCTTGTCACACCCTCAGCACGGGCTCTGCTCAACAGCTCACAACTACGAACAACAGCAGCTGTATCCTGTCACTTGGAATGGAATTAGGAACATCAGATCTGTCCATCATTAGTGATGGAATTCATCCCAGCAGTAAGACAGCCTGTTATTTGCACTGCCACTCTCATCTGGGAGATTTGTCACTGAGAAAACAGAGGCAGTAATTTGTCACTCATAAGAACACAGAGGCAATATTAGGGGGTGACTTTGGAGTCTCATTTCAGGAAGCTGTAGAGAAGCACAAGGTCAGCTCATTTAACCACTGGATTTGGGAGAGGATGTGGGAAGAGACAAACTGGACAATCCAGAACAACAGGACAAGCTCTTGGTTTTGTTTTTTCAAGGCCTACTTTTACCACAGGGGTGGAGGGTGATGCTCTGGGGCAGAATGTTACACTGCAGACAGGGAGCTGAGCAGCTCCAGGCTGGAATGTCCCAGGGCACAGCAATCCACAGGGAGCCTGTAAGCAACTGTCTGCACAGGAACAGGTATTGGAACCTTCCTCGATATTCCTGACACACCTCACGGCTCAGGAGCTGCCACCAAACACTGCAAATATGGAAACAAGACGCTGAGATGACGGCACAGTCAGGACCTGACTCCACTCAGGCTTTCTGAGGCCAGAGTGGGGAGAAGGCAGGAAGGGTCCTGTCTGTCACTTGAGAAGAGCAAAACCACTTCTCCCCCAAACACATGTTCCCTTTCTTTATGTCCTGATCATATCCATCTTCATTTAATTTGCTAAAGAATTCTAAGCAAGATGATTTTGGTTATAATTATTGTTTTGGTAGTTGCTAAAAGCTCGAAATTCCCATGAAAGAGATGATACCTTTGAACATGTTGACAGACACACTTTACTCTGAAATATGTTTTCAACAAGGTCTTTGAAAAATAACTCAACCTGGCAGAGGACAGTGCTCTGGCATCCTGCCACTCAAGAGGTGACACTCAACTCCCTCCAGGAGCCAGGACAATTTACTCAGGGATAGATTTGCAAGGGATTTTAGGCACCAGCCTCCCACTGACTTGCACAGTAATTAGATTCCTGCACACTTGATGGAAAACAACACTTGAGTCCTTCTGTACCTAATTTCCCAAAGTCTGTAAAATGCAGGTGATGCTGCTCAAAACTCAAATAACATTGTATGGGGTGAGCACACAAGCTGGACCTACAAACTGATTTCCTGTCTCTAGATAGCACTATAATTGCAATTACAATCATTCCTATTTTTATCCACAAGCTGTTCTCAACCAGTCTCTTTAACTGCCCAGATTCACCTGCTGTGAAAGCTGGGAGGGTACAATCACAGCCCACTGCTCAGAGCAAAACACCAAGACTTTTTCCACAGGTTTGTGGGTTTTTTTCACTTCAGTGGTGCCCTAAGTACTTATTATTGTTTTCTGATGCTGGTTCTCACCTACAGCAGGTGTAGGGAGACATTCAGTGGTGGGAATGCAAGCCTGAAAGACAAAGACAAAGGATTTAATTCACATGTGTGGTTGCCTGTGCAAAGTCTGCCAGTCATTTGGTCTCCTTCCCTAACTGGATGATGAATTGTGTCTGGTACCTTGACAGCAAGAAATAAAAAGACACTCTCTGCAGTGTCAGATACTCTCTGAGCTCTGAGTCAACACTCGTATCTTGAACCCTAAAACAATTTGCTTTATGTTTACCCCCAGCAATCAGTTCCTTTACAGTCTATCACACCTTTTGTTGTCCCTTCTCCAGTAAACAAGTTTCCAGCACCCTTTGCTTTAATTTTGCACAATCTACAGACAGAGACACGTCAAAATCCTATAAATACACTATGAAATCATCATGTGGACATTCTTCAATTAACAGACAGGAGCATAATCACAGTAACACCCTTTAGCCAAGCTGAACTCGGGGCTCCTCCAGATTCAAGAGGCTGCTTTATTTACTGGCAGCAAAGAAGGGTAATTCCTGCTCGGTTACAGCAGTTGTTTTTATGTCAACAGTTTTGTTCACCGTGCCTTTCTGCCACTGTTCAACTGGGATTGGTTTTAACTGCTCATCTCAAGCTTACAGACTCTGCATCTTGTTACTTTTCAATCTTTACCACTCCTGCTTCTTTTTCTTGGGGAAAAACACACAAATAATTTTATCCATTTATGGCTGCATTTTTGTTTAACTTTCAAAGCAAAGCCCCTGAGAATTCTTGCTGAATGCCTTCCTTGAATTTGAGAGGAAACCAGCTTTTTCAGGCTTGATGTGTTCCAAATGATCAGAGTGATTGCTCTGCTGTAATTTTATTAAGCTAAATGCTCTCCTCCCTCTTTGCTGACACTTCCACTTTTTTTTTTTTTTTAAACTGAACCAGGATTTCGTACAGCAGATATTTAACTTTAGTGAATAAACAGCAAGTCCAACAGCACAGTATTTACAAAGAAACTACAGTACAAGAGGTGAAACAACAAACCAGCAATCCTAGCACGGCAAGGCCACTGAAGGGAAAGTATCTTGCTGTTTCCCTAAGATTTTATGGAGTGAAACTAAAAAAAAAACCCAATTATTGTCACAAATGTCACTGTACTTCTGTTTAAGCTGCAAATAAAAGTGAGTTTTGGTTTACTTGGTTTTTTCCCCACAACAAAATGCAAACAAAGCATCTGCCTCTCCTAAAGCAACCACACAGCACCTAAACCATGGGGGATGCCAGATTGTAATGGAATGATCCAAGATTTTCTGAACAGAGCGTTCAACAGGAATT